TCCAGTAAATTTGTATTTAAATTTACTCATAGCGAGGAAGTTTTGGGGTAGTTCTGATTTTTTCCATTTCTTTTGTATTTTGGGGTGCTGAATCCGAATCTGAGGTGATGATACATGAACATTGATGAATACATGAACCATTTTATTTTTATCTACTAGTAAAAATTATAAAGAACTTGAAAAATTGGCTGATGAAACATTAAATAATGCACAAAATTGGTTTCATAGTAATGGACTTTTGCTTAACAAAGAAAAATCACAAAAATTGACATTTTCCTTAAATTATAATTCAAGAGAGTTGTTTGAGAACAGTGATAAGGGTAGTAAAGTTTTTTCAGCAAAGTTTTTGGGAATATATGTAGATAGTCAGCTAACATGGGATTCTCATATAGACTATTTAAATACCAGACTTTCTCGTGTAATATTTTTACTAGGTCGTCTGAAAAAATGCATTCCATTAAATTATGTCCGAACAGCATATTTTTCATATTTTCAATCCATTTTCAGGTATGGGCTAATTTTTTGGGGCAATTGTGCTAGGGTAGAGGAAATTCTTGTTTGGCAAAAGAAAGCGGTTAGAGTTATCTCTAATAAAGGCTCAAGAGACCACAGCAAACCACTTTTTAGAAATCTTCAAATCCCTACTATTATTAACGTTTATATTTATGACTTAATAGTTTATATCTTGGAAAATCAACATCTTTTAAAATTTAGAAACCATACTCATGATCATAATACCAGAAATAAGAACCATACCACAATAGAATTCCATCGTTTAAGTAAAACTCTAAATAGTCACATAGTTTTATCACTTAAAGTGTACAACTTTCTTGAATCCATAATTAAATTACACAATATAAAGGATTTCAAAAGTAAATTTTACTGTTGGCTGACCAATAACCCATTTTATAGTTTGGAAGATTTTTTTAAGAATAAGATTCTTCAGTTGTAATTATTCATTTAGAATATATATTATAATATGTCTCCCTTTGTTAAGTTAGCTATAAGTATTTTATTAATTAATTACCTGACTATGCTATAATTTTAGCTGTATCTTGACATTGTCGATGATTTGTACAAATTCAAAAGACAATAAAGCATATTTCATTTCATTTCATTTCATTTCATTTCATATTTCAGTAGTAAATAGAAAAACATTCAGAACTTGACAAGTGGGTTTTCTTATGGCAGAAGATTGGACAGTCGGTCTAAGCCAGGGCAGGATAAATAAAGTATCAAAGTATTCTGTGTACTGATTTATGTTTATTCATATTTATTTTACCTACAATTTTTGAGATGTAGAACACTTGAACTATAAACAGTAAAAAATCAGAAGATGAAGTTACTAAGTTATTAAATGTCAATAAGTGTTTGGGTGCCTGCAAGAAGTTAATTACATCTAAAGTATTATCCCACAGAAAAAATACAACTATACAGGGTGTCCCACGTAAGGTGTCTCAAATTGATTGTGAAAAAAAAACGGCTTTATTACTTTTTCCTTGTTATTTCATTTAACCAACATGCGGTTACTTGGCAACCCCTAAGACTAATGTTAAGAAAATGTGACTTTCAGTTTCTTTTTTCTACATAATTAGATTTTCGTTGGCAATTCTAACTGCAGTAAACTCGTTTTTAGGCCAGAAGTAATATAGCCTATTTACAACATTTGAAGAAAAGGAAATCTTCGAAGCCGTTTTCGAGATCTTTGTGCAAACATACATAAATACCTATTACTATTAGAAAATTTGAAAACAATAAGCATTTGCGAATTTTCAAAAATCAAATTCCCAAAAACTGCCACTTTTTAGAAACGGAAACAGATAATTAATTTTTGCTTCCTGTAAAATCTTTGTCTATTAAATAACTTTAAAATGATGTACGACATGACATATTATGTTTACATTTGAATTTTCCGAGATTGGAACCAATGACTGTTTTTGGCACACCCTGTATCAGAAAAAAGTTAAAAAACACTTTTACGTTATGCCTTGGGTCGATTTAGCGGAGAATAATTTTATTTCATCCTTGTACGGTATGCTATTTTTTTGTATCAATTTGAGACACCTTACGTGACTATAACACACCCTGTATTAGACAATAATGTAACTTATTCTGTTATATGGATGTGAAACATGGGTAACGTCCAAGAATAATGATAAACAACTCATGGTTTTTGAAAATAAAGTCCTAAGAAAAATATTTGGACCAGTGCAAGAGGGAGAAATGTGGCGATAAGGAAAAATAGAGAGCTAAGATCACTATCACCGAACCGGATATTGTTGCAATGGTTAAAGGAAGAAGAATAAGTTGGATAGGGCATGTGCTAAGAAGAGAGAAAGGAACAAGACTGTATGAAGTTTGGAGAGCTACGGTACAACTGGAAGTAAACGTACATTGGGAAGGCCGAAATTCAGATGGACTGACCAATTATTGAATGATGTTAGGACAAAGGGTGCAAACATCAACTTGGCAGAAGACAGTTCGGATGGAAGAGGCTGGTACTTGAGGCGAAGAATCAATTGAGATTTATGGAGCTACGGCGGGAGGGCTGGAACGGCACTCACGGTCAGTCCCTGGTCCTAATCCAACTACGGAACTGCACTCACGGTCACTTTGAGCCTTTCTGGGGGTACCGGAACTGCACTCACGGTCAGTTTTTAATTAGCCTATATCACATTGTGCAACACCATGATTGAATTGATTAAAACTTATTAAATTAGTTGAAATATATTGAAAAGTTTTGATTAAATTAATCCAAACGTCAAAAAATAAACTTACTACTGACATTGCAAAAAATACACATATATATGTGCACAGAAAATTCTAGCATAGTATTTACGATAACATGATAGGCTATATTCTTATTATAACGAAGCTTCTTTTGTAAAGGTTAGGTTAGGTTAGGTTAGGTTATTTATTGTTGTATTTATTGGGACAGACACTAAAACGTGTATTAAATAAAGTATTGGATAAAGTAAGACAGAGGTCGGAATAAACAGATGACTAAGGGGCTAGCGAAGCGTTCAGCCGTGAAAGACCGATTTTTGACCGTGAGTGCAGTTCCATATGGCTTAGGCGGGCTACCCTTCCAACCCTTGTAAATTCCTTTGACCGTGAGTGCAGTTTGTTGTCATCCGCTACGGCAGTATGTAAATTACAAACACTTTAAGGTTGCTCTGGTATGATTCATTGTAAGTTTTTTTTAATTACCTTTTTTAAATTAAATATTTTTAAACAAGTTATAGGGACGCTTAAGTATATGACTTACAGTAATACAAATTAATCATAAATTTTTTATATGAGGATTCTTTACAAATAATGCTTTAATGAGGTCGCTCTCCTGTATGTGCCAATTGATGTTCTTTCAATTTGCTTTCAGATACAAAGGATTCTTCACATGTGAAGCAATTATAAGGACGCTCATTGCAATGAATTAATACATGACTCTTGCAATTGCATTTGCTTGAAAAGGATTTTCCACATTTAGTACAGTTGTGTTTATCTCCGGTATGAACCAAAATATTTTTTTTCAAATTGTCCTTTGAATTGAAGGTTTTTTTACGTGCATTCCATTCATGAGGATGTCAATTGCCACAAATTAATAGATGTGTTTTATAACTAGATTTGGTAACAAAGGATTTTCCACATGTAGTGCATTTATGAGGTCGCTCTCCTGTATGAACCATTGTATGTAGCTTCAATTGGCTTGTAGATACAAAGGATTTTCCACATGTGGTACACTTATGAGGTCGTTCTCCTGTATGAACCCTTGTATGTTCTTTTAATTTGCTTTTAAAAACAAAGGATTTCCCGCATGTAGTACACTTATGAGGTCGTTCTCCTGTATGAACCCTTGTATGTACTTTCAAATTGGTTTTAGATACAAAGGATTTTCCACAAGTAATGCAAATATGAGGTCGCTCTCCTGTATGAACAATTGTATGTTCTTTTAATTTGCTTTTAAAAACAAAGGATTTCCCGCATGTAGTGCATTTATGAGGTTGCTCTCCTGTATGAACCATTGTATGTACTTTCAAACTGCTTTTATATACAAAGGATTTTCCGCATGTAATACACTTATGAGGTGTCTCTCCTTCATGAACCATTGAATGTTCTTTCAATTGGCTTGTAGATACAAAGGATTTTCCACATGTGGTACACTTATAAGGTCGTTCTCCTGTATGAACCCTTGTATGTACTTTTAAATTCCTTTTAGATACAAAGGATTTTCCACAAGTAATGCAAGTATGAGGTCGCTCTCCTGTATGAACCATTGTATGTTCTTTCAAATTGCTTTCATATACAAAGGACTTTCCGCATGTAATACATTTATGAGGCCGCTCTCCTGTATGATCCATTGTATGTACCTTCAATTTTCTTTTAGATACAAAGGATTTTTCACAAGTAGTGCATATATGAGGTCTCTCTCCTGTATGAAACATTGTATGTACTTTCAATTTTCCTTTAGATACAAAGCATTTCCCGCATGTAATGCATTTATGAGGTCGCTCTCCTGTATGAACCATTGTATGTTTTTTCAAAAAGCTTTTATATACAAACGATTTTCCACAAGTAATGCATATATGAGGTCGCTTTCCTGTATGAACCATTGTATGTTCTTTCAAATTGCCTTTAGATACAAAGCATTTCCCACATGTAACACACCTGTAAGGGGACTTCCCAGAGTGTGTCAACAAATGACTTTTTACGTGACTTAGCTTATTAAATGATTTACCACATGTTAAGCATTTATATAGGTGTTCGTTCGTATGTTTTAATATATGAACCTTCATTTGATATTTCTTTTTTAATGATTGTCCACATATTGGACACTTATGAAAAAGCTCTTTGGATTGCTTTGGCATTTTTAGCTTTGCACTTTCTATTGTTGTGAAACTCAGATTATCAGAATTTCTAGTAAAAAATCAGGAAGTTTATTGGTAATGTTTCATGTTCATAAGAATCTTCAGTCTGTTATTTCTATAAGTTCAAGGTACTACCGTGGAGGGAGTTGTTGTCCTACGTACAATCCAAATTAGGACTCGTTTGGCAATTGGCTCTTATTTCCTATGCCTGAGTTCTATTTTCATTCCTGAAATAACACAACTTTCATTAGATAAACACTAACACACATACATAATTTATTATGACCAATATATATATATATTAATTGTCTTTACAATTGAAGGCCTTTTAACACGTATTACAATTATAAGGTTGCTCATTGCTTTGAATTAATTTGTTTGTTGTAATTGCTTTTGCTTGAGAAGGATTTTCACATGTAGTATTTTCCACTGATGAGGTCACTCTCTCATATGAACCATTGTATGTTTTTAAAATTGTTTTTAGATACAAAGGATTTTTTGCACACAATACTGTTATGAAAATAAATGTTAAAAACCAAATTTATATGGGGTTTTTAATGGATTTTAACTTTCTAAGACATAACTAAAAAGACTTAATTATTATAGGTAACCATGATAGGTAACGTTATTCCTGGTTTTATATAGTGTACAGTACATGAGTGTACAGTCCCTAATGAATACATTGCAGAATTGACTGGCAAATGAGTAATCTAAATTTAATATTGCCCGCTGGCTTAATGATACATCACGATCAGCTGTATTGAAGTAAACAAAAATCAGCAGTAAAAAGGCTTTTAATGCTATTCTTATGGAGAACATTTAACGTTATATCTCGTTTTCTGGTAAATTTATGGGAATTCTGCTATTTTCCCCGAGTCCCTGGGGTCAAGACGTTTATTTTAGATCCCTCCCACTTTTCTGCAACTTACCAGACGTCCACAATTTTCTGGTAAAAATCTTTTCTTGAAGAATTATATATAAAAACTAGCTGACCCGGCGAACTTTGTATCGCCTAAGTTATAGGTTTCCCCTAAGACAGACCGATGGAAAGAAAGTACCGTTAAGTTTAATTTTCAAGATGATCTCGTTCGCATCGCTCAATCACGTCCTGGTTGAAGTTCGTTCGCTACGCTCACTCACCTTTGGGTTGGAGCTCGTTCGCTACGCTCACTCACCTTTAGGTTAGCTCGTTTGCTACGCTAACTCGCCTCCAGGTTGAAGTTCGTTCGCTACGCTCACTCACCTTTGGGTTGGAGCTCGTTCGCTACGCTCACTCACCTTTAGGTTGGAGCTCGTTCGCTGCGCTCACTTGCCTTCAGGTTAGCTCGTTCGCTACGCTAACTCGCCTCCAGGTTGAAGTTCGTTCGCTACGCTCACTCACCTTTTGGTTGCAAATTAGCTGTTGTCATAAATGTAAAAGAAATAATAGTGCTGCACTCTGTTGGTAATCCTTGTAACTTTGATGCTATTGAACATCATAGAACAGAACCAACTTGTTTAATTGAAACAGCTGTTAAGATTCATTAATTCCATTTCTCATAAGGTTAACATGGGAAACTCCAGAGCCACTGGGGCGGAGCCCTTTTAAGAATTTCGAAACGGGAAATAGTTTACGTCCGATTCGCATACCTACAGAATTTACACACCAAATTTCATAACGATTGGTGAAGTCGTCCTGGAGGAGTTTGCAGACAAACACCGTGACACGAGAATTTTATATATTAGATAAGCAAATTGTAAACAAAAACACATCCCTATATAAAACCGGCCATAACTAACATTGAAATTGTCTTTCTGATCCATATGGTTGATGACTTATCAATAAGAGAGTATGTTTAATCTAAGCTAAAACTCTACTCATTCAATTTCATTAGGATTTTCAGAGCTCATAATATTATCCAAAGCTAATATTATTATAATATTATCATTGACTTTAGGATACTGACAATTGATTGTTCTATCAATCATCAAAGCTAATACGTTAGTTAGTTCATACACATGCTAATGCTTTATCTGGTTAACAGAATAAAATCATATCAATACTTGAGAGAGCCAAATATAGTATCTTAATTCTTTTATAGTAAAATGAAAATTCAACAAATTTTTTCTCCATTATTTAGTGGCAGGAGAAGGAACAAGACTGTATGAAGTTTGGGGAGCCACACCTGGAGGTAAACGTCCATTGGGAAGGCCGAAATTGTGATGGACTGACCAAGTATTGAACGATGTTAGGACAATGGGTGCAAACATCAACTTGGTAGAAGACAGTTCGGATAAAAGAGGCAGGTACACGAGGCGAAGGATCAACTGAAATTTATGGAGCCACGGCAGTATGTAAGTACAAACACTTCAAGGTTGCTCTGGTATGATTCATTGTATGTTTTTTTTTAATTGAATGTTTTAAAAAAAAGTTATAGGGACGCTTAAGTATATGACTTACAGTAATACAAATTTATCAAATTTGTTATGTATATGAGGATTCTTTACAATTAATGCACTAATGAGGTTGCTCTCCTGTATGTGCCAATTGATGTTCTTTCAATTTGCTTTCAGATACAAAGGATTTTCCATGTGTAATACAATTATGACGTTGCTCTCCTGTATCGACCCTTGTATGTACTTTCAATTTGCTTTAGATGCAAAGGATTTTTCACAAGTAATGCATATATGAGGTAACTCATTGTTATCACTTAATACATGACTCTTATAAATAGTATTTTTACTTGCAAAGGATTTTTCCCATGTAGTGCACTTAGGAGGTATTTCAGTATGAAACAATTCATTCTGCTTTTAGATACAAAAGCATTTCCCGCATGTAATGTGGAATTTAATTTATGAGAACGCTCATTGCCATGAATTAATAGATGTCTATTATAAATGTGTTTTGATACGAAGGATTTTCCACATGTAGTACACCAATAAGGCAGGCCCGCTTTTATAAAGGGCAGACTGGGCATATGCCCAGGGGCACCGGTGGTTGGGGAGCGCCCGAGGGGCGCCTTAACCGCCGCTTGCACTAGGAAAAATTGGTTTTGATCAGTGGCGGCGATAAGAACCCGCGGGCCCCCCCGCAAGTTTGATCGCCGGGCCCCCCTCTCCCAATGGTCTTTAAAACCATTTTCCCATGTATTGCCGCCTAAACTTGCAATTTTGCAATAAACTTGACAAGGCATCTCCCGAGGCGTCATTATCGTCTTCCATGATCGCGGCAAAATCGTATATACTTCCCGTAGTCATAAGTCACGGAAGAAACATTATCATAGAAGAAGAAGAAAAACATGCTTTATTTTTCACAAAAAACATTGACAAGATTAAATAAAAGCATATATCAACAATGGTTATAGTTTACCGTGATTGCAAATGCAATCAAACCTATGACATCATTAGATAGCAGTATCGTCTCCCACGGTCACGGCCCAATCTAATATCACGGCCTAATATCTCCCCGCGACCAGTCGGTGGTGACGGGTAAATCATTTTTCCGTAATCGCGGCTAAATCCTAGATATATCTTTCGCTTAAAAAGAAACGTCATTATCGTCTTTCGCAATCGTGGCAAAATATTGAACACCTGCGGCTGCGGAGACATCGTCATCGTCACCCGCGGAGAAATGTTCTCGTCGATATCTGCAATCCCGGCAAAAGCGTAGGCCTAATCTTTCAATTTCGTGAGCGTGATCCTCACGGATATAAAAGCTTTTACTTTTAATTGTGTGTTATTGTATTGAATACTGAGAAAATCGGCTCAAGCTTGATTTTCTGACTTTGTGCTTGATCTCTAAAGCTTGTAGTCCAGGCTCTGCTCGGCTCGAAAATCGACATTGTAGGCCTATTATAAAAATCAACCGTTTTCAAAACAACCCGATTTTGAACCGATCTGATTTGGCCTGAGGGCCTTAGGTAAGTAAAATTTTTTACCTGACTTGATGTAAACACATCTAAAGTGCGAAGTAAACAAATCTATAGGGCAGCCTCCTAATAGTAAGACATGAAATGAAAATCCTTCTTTAGCATCAATGAAAGAATGGAATTATTTATTAGCTAGTGCCCTAGCCACCTAGGTTAATTTGCCGATTTGGTCGTAACGAAATTGTCAAGTTTATTTAGTCGAATCAGCATAGAGGATCCTCTATGCTCTATGGTGTCACCCGCTGGGGGCTAGGTAGGAAGTATGTATAATAGGTTACGTACCTTGTTCCGTCTTCAGTCTTAAACTTAGTCTATGGATGACTAGTTTCGGGTACAAAGACCCATTATCAAATCCTTATTTAAAACTTCATATTTAATATGATCCGACGTAAGTCTTCATCAATGTATACATGCAGGTCGGCGACACATAAAATTTACACATTTAAAAAACAAAAGTTACAAATACATTTACGATAGGCCGGCCACATTGAATACGGGACAAACCGACGCAGGTTAAACGGGGGACACGACAGAACTCAATAAAGCATATTCAATATGATGTTTTAAATAAGGATTTGATAATGGGTCTTTGTACCCGAAACTAGTCATCCATAGACTAAGTTTAAGACTGAAGACGGAACAAGGTACGTAACCTATTATATATTCGATTATCAGTCTTGGTGGCAAAGATGTTTAACATTAATGTTTTATCTTCCTAGGCCAGAGGCCACATTGGTTATAAATACGGTCCTATTATTATGCAACCAATTTTGACTGCGCCTTCACACAATCCACGAGGACAATTAATGCAACGCGCATGACTGATGACAATTCTTTTACTTAGGTTGGTAGATAATTTATATCGATCGGTCAAGTAATAGTGTAAGTTTAGCTGTTGTAAACTACTACTTGAACTATAGGTTTGAACAAATTTTCATCATAAAAAACGTATTTTAATTCTCATATAAATAATATTGTTATGATAGGGGACCCGTGTGGCTGAGCCTGACACACTATCACGGGCCCGTGTGCCGGTAAAATTTACCGAAAATCCCGGTCAAGGCTCACGGGCCCCCCTAGCTCGCGGCCCCCCCCCCCCCGCACCGGAATTTTTAACTATACTGGCCACAGGCAATGGTGGTGTCATGTAGGTTAGGTACATTATTAAATGTGAAAAATACACTTGGACAACTTTATGCGGCTATGGGTAAGTCGGGAAACATTTGTTGAAAACATTATAAAAGATAGGAGACTATTTTACGCCGGTTCAGGCAAGAGGTAATAAACGGAATCGTATAAAAATTTCTTTAGACAGCCCG